GCCTATCCTGCGTTTGCTAATCAAGAACTAGGACTCTCCGGTTAGTGCCCCCAGTCGCTTATTAAGCCCAATTCGGTCTGGGTCCGAGGTGGGCTTAATGACCGGCGACTAGTGTATCAGCAAAAAGCAAAACCCGTCCCAGTGAGCAATATTATGTTGTCAAACTAACATGGAATTTGCAAATAAGCTATAGAGTATGGAACAGGTAGTAAAAAGACGTTGCTATTTATCCGAAGTTGCGAGGCATAACCTCGATACAGGACACAGCTTCGCATGGGACAAAACAAGCACCGTCGGAGTTTGCCCCTCCAACGATTCATGCATCAACTGACACAGACTTAGATGGAAAGTAATAAACATTTCGAAGAAAAATGGAAGAGACGAGAGCGGTAAAGTACAGACTGAGAGAAACCACAGCTACCAATCAGCTCTCACACCATATAACTATTGGTTTTTTTCTGCACATTTGAAATTTTAATTGTTCCCTGCACATTCTCGCTAGTCTGAAAACGAGTCGGGGAACAAGTCTTGAAAATTTACGGATTAAATTGAACTTTTTGTTCAAAATAACATCATTTCTTCAAATTACATCTCTTGGGATGGCCGATTTCCAATTTACAAAGAAAAAAAAACAGATGGTTTGAAGGGCGGGGACAAGCATCGGAAAGGAAGAAGAGGAGGGGAAGAGAGACATTAGGAAAGCACAGAAAGGCCTGTTTACCTGGATATGCGGCCACGCCGCCTCAAGGGTGGGTTCATCCTCCTCGGGGTCAAATTCGGCACCGGTGGGATTGCTGGGGGGAGGCAGGGTGCGGAAGACGTTGGCCTCCACCATGTTCACCACCTCGGGGTAAATGGCCTCGGTGATGACACCGCCACCGCCGCCAGCAGCAGCGGTCCCGGCATTGGTCTGGCCGGATGCAGCCTCCAGCATGTACTCAATTATCTCATTGAGCGCGCACCGCTTGACCTCCTTGTCGGAGAAATCGGAGAGAGGATCGGGCACAAAATCGAAGACAACGGAGCATTGGCGCAGTTTCTGAATGAACAGCTCCTCCCTGTCGGCTGGGTTGGCTTCTGTCGGAGGAAGGGACACAATAGCGGGAACAGTTCATGAGACTGTTAATACAACTGAAGCCAGTCTGCGACTTCGTGACAAGGACTTCAAATATTAACTCGTAAGTCGTGCATTACTTTAACTTGTACATGATACGCCTGTGATCATGCCTGATCTGACCGGCCTCGATGGTGTCATTGACGGTGCGTGACATGATCATTAACGGTAGTGCATCTGGAAAACTCCATCTGACATTCACCACGTCAATGTCATTTTCGAATTTATTTTGCTCTGAACTACGTGCCCGAGTCCCTTTCT